TTCCTGTGGAAACAGGCATGAGAGGAATGAAGGTAAATGGGCTAGAAACAAGGCATAGCCAGCTCATGAGGTAATACAGTATACCATAGGCAGGGGAGACATTTTTAAATGGTTGAACTGGTGACAAATATGCTCAGTTGGTTACCACCAATTACACTGTGTGCAGCTTCAGTTACAGCACACATGAACATGGGAAGAGTTTTTCCAGGCTGTTGCTGTGGCTTTGAGAAGTATAACTACCAGCTCACTGAAGTGTGTGTGTTTATTTTGTCCCTGTGCTACTGCCCCCAGGACTTGTGCAACATGAACACTCATGAATTGCAGTGCTGTCACTCCCTATCTTGTTGCAAATGGCATAACAGACCCAAGCGCCTGCGCATATACAATGGTGCCCCGCATGATGACGATAATCCATTCCATTAAAATTGCTGTAGAGTGAAATTGTCATCAAGGGGGGAAAACCCATTGAAACGCATTAAAAATGGGTTAATGCGTTCCAATGGGTGAAATACCTCATTGTCCAGCGAAGATCCTCCATAGGGCGGCCATTTTCCGGTGCCTGTAAAGCGAAAAATCAGTCCTGAAAACAGCGGGCAGCCATTTTGCACAGCGGGCAGCCATTTTGAAACCCAACAACAGCTGTTTTTAGATCGTCATAAAACGAAAATCGCCCTTTGAAACATCGTTTTGCGATCTCAATAGCAATTGCAAAAACATAGTCGTGAAGTGATTTTAGCGTCAAGTGGGGTAATCGTCAAGCGGGGCACCACTGTAGTCTGTTTCTCCATTTTCCTCCATCCTGGCCCTTAGAAGTGCAGGTGTTCTGCAAATGCAACCTACCTGCAAACACCTTCATGCTGAGCCAGCAAGTCCAGTTCCCCACAAGGAATGGATGGAGATGGGCACCCAGGCTTTAAAAACGCATCTCATGTCCACACACGCACAGACACACACAAAATCAAACTTCTTCCTCTTCCGGTGCTCTTTCCCCTGAGATTTTATCTTCCTGCCTAGAGACCGGAGGGAGCCTAGCTCTTGCCTGAGACTCCAGCCAGCTCCCTGAGACATTAACATCTTCAACTGATTCAGATTTTTATTATAAATCCTCCACACTGACAGATAAGTACATATATAATTTTTGTAGGACAAGCTGTGGTGGTAGAAGAAAAGGAAGCAAAAACAGATTTTGCTAATCTGCCAAAGTCTCATGAATGTCCTCAGAAACTAAACTGATTTCCAGGAAGGGAATGGTAAAACTACTACTGAGTCCTCTGTACTTAGGAAACTCTGGGAAGGGTCACCACAGTTGGAAATGAGTTGTCAGCACATTATTAATAATAATATGAATCAGAGATGCTCACCAAGGTTAGCATCAAATGAAGAATAAATTCAGTTCGGTCCCCTCCACTTTTTAATTTTTTTTAACATAGTGTTTTCAATAAAGGATTTATCAGGGGACAGAGTGGGCTTAGGCTATAAGAAATGTTCTGTTACATCAGACCAAATGTCTGTCTAGCTTACTATCCTGTTCCCACACTGCCGAAAAAAGATAACTAGAGGAAACCAACAAAAAGGGGCCACAGTCTGATAGCACTATCCCACTCATGTTTCCTAGCTGCTAGGATTTTACAATATACTTACTCTTGTATTGGAGGTAATATATAGCTGGTAGCAATTGATAGCACCCCCTGTGAGTGCTTTCGGTATCTCAAAAGTAATATTTCAAGCTGCTTTTGTTATATATTCAGATTAGTGAGAAAAGGGGAAGACACTGACCACAGCTTTTCAGATATCTCCAGATTAGTAGTACAGTACAGTGGTGCCTCGCAAGACGAGCACTTCATTTAATGAAGAAATCACATAACGAAGTTTTTGCGATTGCAAAAGCGATCACAAAACAATGTTTCCTATGGATTTTTTTCGCTTTGCGATGATTGGTTACCTGCTTCGCTAACCGATTATCGCAAAACGAAGATTTTCGCACAGCTGATCGGTGGTTTCAAAATGGCCGCCAGGTTAAAAAAATGGCCGCCCACTGTTTTCTGGGACGGATTCCTCGCTGCACGGGCAGCGAAAATGGCCATGCTATGGAGGATCTTCACTGGACGGCGAGTTTCAAGCCCCTAGGAACACATTAACTGGGTTTTAATACGTTTCTATGGGCTTTTAAAAATCGCTTTACGATGTTTTCGTTCTACAGCAATTTCGCTGGAACGAATTAACATCGTAATGCGAGGCAACACTGTATATTGTTAACTCTAGTTTGCAAATATGAGACAGGCATAATTTGAAAGAACCCATCATAAGAGACCACTAGCCCCAAAGTAGTCTCGCTTGACTCTAAAAAAACATTAAGTTTACAGGGTGACGCTGAAGCAGTTACATATCTTTTACCACTTACAAAGGTATGTATAGAATTTACATGGATGAATTGGACCACATTCCTCACTGTAACTGAATTGATTGTTACAATGTGGAGTTGGGACTTAACCTCGCAAAAGTGACATACTAACCTCAGGTCAGATATGGGTTTGGGCAACAACAGTGGAAGAAAGGTACATTTTAATGTGTGAATGTATAAGAGGGAATGATGCCACCTACCTTAGAGATAGAGAAAGAGAGAGAGAGAGAGAGTTAGTTGTACAGAACATACTTTTTTGTTATTATACAGTAAATGTTACTTTCATAAGGTACAAGGACTTTATTGGATTACATTTCCTGCTCTAACTGAATTGATTGTTACAGTGTGGAGCTTGAGTTTAAGACACTAGCTATAATACTGTATACTTACCACAGGTAAGTTATGGGTTTTAAGAGGCACAAGTTACTTTTACTTATGCACAAGAATTTCTTAAATCTTAAGACTTCGTACTTCCTTTCTGTACAGGAAATCTCACACAAATAGCAGCTCTGGTGGGAGGCAGTCTGATGGCAGGGTACAGGGCCAAATGAAGACAGGTGCAAATGTTCAATAAATCATTTCCTACTTAACAAGTTATATGAAGAACCATAACAAGAACTATAGATAATATATAGATCAGCCTTACCTAACTTGGTACTTCAGTGAATGTATTTTTGTTTCTTGGACAATGACTCCAACTTCTCCAAATGTTTTCCAGGCACAATTCTGGGATTTGGACCCTACAAACAGAAATTTGCGATCCGCCTGGAGCAGGAACTGGCAAGCCACTCCAGTACCTTTACCAAGAAAACTCCATGGACAGAAACAAAAAGGTAAAAGATATGATGCTGGAAGATGAGCCCCTCAGGTCAGAAGATGCCCAACATGCTACTGAGGAAGAGTTGAGGACAAGGACAAGTAGCTCTAGAGCTAATGAAGCTACTTCTGCTTCATTAACTATGCAAAAGCCTTTGACTGTGTGGACCACAACAAACTATGGCAAGTCCTTAAAGAAATGGGAGTGCCTCACCACCTTACGTATCTATCTCCTGAGAAATCTATATATGGGACAGGAAGCAACAGTTAGAACTGGATATGGAACAACTGATTGGTTCAAAATTGGAAAAGGAGTATATTGGGACAAGGCTGTATATTGTCTCCTGCTTATTTAACTTATATGTAGAATACATCATGCAAAAGGCAGGACTGGAGGAATCCCAAACTGGAATTAAGATTGCCGGAAGAATTAACAACAACCTCAGATATGCAGATGATACCACTCTGATGTCAGAAAGTAAGAAGGAATTAAAGAACCTCTTAATGAGGGTGAAAGAGGAGATCGCCAAAAGTGGTCTGAAGCTCAACATAAAAAAAACAACTAAGATCATGTCCTATTACCTCCTGGCAAATAGGAGAAAATATGGAGGCAGTGACAGATTTTACTTTCTTGGGCTCCATGATCACTGCAGATGGTGACAGCACCCATGAAATTAAAAGACGCCTGCTTCTTGGGAGGAAAGTGATGATAAACCTAGACAGTTGGACCATAGAGAAAGCTGACCACCAAAGAACTGATGCTTTTGAATTGTGGTGCTGGAGGAGACTCTTGAGAATCTCCTGGACTGCAAGGAGAACAAACCTTTCCATTCTAAAGGAAATCAACCCTGAGTGCTCACTGGAAAGACAGATCCTGAAGCTGAGGCTCCAATATTTTGGCTATCTCATAAGAAGAGAAGCCTCCCTGGAAAAGACCCTGATGTTGGGAAAGTGTGAAGGCAAGAGGAGAAGGGGATGACAGAGGAGGAGATGGATGGACAGTGTCATCGAAGCTACCAACATGAATTTGACACAACTCCGGGAGGCGGTGGAAGACAGGAGGGCCTGGTGTGCTCTGGTCCATGGGGTCACGAAAGAGTCCCACACGACTTAACGACTAAAGAACATCAGTAAATGTCATTTATTTATTCATCTACTAGCACTACCCATGGAAATGCTTTTGACACTCAAATTCTATCCCTCAGAAAGCACACATAATTACAGCCAGAAAAAAAAGGCATTTGAATGAATGGGTGTGTGTATTTGTGTGAATTTGGCTCCAGTTTACCTGAAAGCATAGTTTGTCAGTAACACTGTGCTGAACGATGAACTTTGGACCTGTAGTTCATTTGCATGTACAAACTTACCTAGGAAGAGAAGGGGGAAGAGGTGATTCCCGCTTTCTTCCCCTCCCCACATTCCTTGCATTGCTTAGAAGAAAATTAAAAAAAAAACAACGCAAAGCATGGGTAACACAAAGTGAATTCCATATATTTGTCTTCTCAGCAGCTTCGGCTAGGATTGAAAAATCCCCCCATTTCCAGGGAAACGTCACAACCCCGCTCCTTCGAAGCAGATCAAATGCAGACGTCACATGTGTTAAGGCGATAGAAGCAGGAGGGGGGGCACTCTTAAATCGACCTATGGGAGCTGCTGGAAGTTGCGATTGACACTCGAGGGATTCAATGGAGGCCAGAGCGACCCTCGAAAATGAACTTTAGACAACTCTCCTCAGCCAATAAGCTAAATCCGGAGGTAGGGCTGCTTTCGCTTCTCCCTCCTCCCTCTTTGGTGTGTGCAAGATTGGGTTGCGAGCTGGCAAAGAGAGCTGCCTTTTCCACTCGCTCTCCGGTGCTGTCGCTGTGCTTCAGCAGGAGCTTTCGAGATCGGCGGCGCTTAAGAGAAGGAAGAAGAGGAGGAGGAGGCGGAGAAGCAGCAGCAGCCTCGAGTAGCAGCAGCCCCAGAAATCAAAGGACGGAAGCCGCGCAGGCATGGATCATTATGATTCTCAGCAAACCAATGACTATATGCAGCCAGAAGAGGACTGGGACAGGGATCTTCTTTTGGATCCGGCTTGGGAAAAGCAGCAGAGAAAGGTAATTCCGGATCTCAGCTTTCTATCCCGCCTTCCTCCCCCCCCCGCCTCCAGCCTCCAGGATGGGGAAGGGTATGGCCAGAGGCTGCTGCAAGGGAATGGATCGGCGGGGAGAGGTGTTTTCACCGCGTGGAGAGACGGAAGGAGGGAGGGAGGGACGCACGAAGGGACTCGGATATGAGCATCTCGTTGAGCACCGCGTAGGTAGGAGAATGCATGTGCGCACACATGCTTCTCCCGTGTTCGCGGTTTCCCCCCTCCCCGTCGCTGAGCTCCCTTGCTTCAGGGACCCAGAGCCCACGGCTGCTGCCGTCGTCCCTGATGGCTTTACAGGATCCGGCTAGGACGCCTCCTCTTTATTACCACCGTCTTAATGCATCTAATAATTTCGTCTTTCATTTCTGTCTCCATTTATGCCCCAGAGCTTTGGGGAGAGGAGGGGGTTGGCAACGCTGGGCTACGCCTGATGAAGGATTTGTCTCCAGGGGAGATTCCCTCCCCCCCTCCCCCGGCCTCGTCTCTCCTTCCCTCTCCCCCCGCCACCCAATCTGGCACGGAATAATGCCATGCGTGGCTCATGAGGCACAACAACTGGCGAGAGTTAATGCAAAAGGAGGGGGGAACCACTTTCAAATAGTTATGAAGCATTGGTTGAAGTTGTGGCATCGGCCAGGGCTAGGCGGGAGGTAATCATGGTCGGTTCCTTTGGGACCAGAGCATCGTTGTAAGTTTAAACCTTATCTATTTGTAGGCTCGTGTGTGTGTGTTTTAATGCCTTTTTTTAGGGTGGGGGAAATGTGAAGATCAGCAGGCATCAGGTTGCTGGGGAAAAGAGCGGAGGTGACGTGCAGCGGGAGTTGGGAGGGGATGATCTGTTGCTGAAATAACAGGATCGATCATGAAAGCCTGTGGTGGGTGGTAAGCAAAGGGAGCCGTTCGGATTGCTCAACCCGGCGGTGGCTCCGAAGTTGCCTTCCCTTTTCCTCCACCACCACCTCCTCCTCCTCCTCCTCCTCCTCGGCTTCTGAAGCAACAGATGTTTTTTTTTCCCCGACCGGCCGCCGGGAGCCAGGCTGTCTCGAGTTGGCTCCTCCGGCGTTTCACAACGCCAGCGACCCAAAAAGCCGAAGGGCTCGTTCGTTGTTCGACCAGGGAAGTGCCTGGCGTGAGGGTGGTGATGATGGGGTGGGGGGGAGAGAGTTGGCTTCGCCCTTTTGGTCGTTGGCCGCGACTTCGGTCCTTTTGGGGGCTGCACTCTTTCTCGCCCCAGAAAAGGGCGGAAGGGGCTGGTGTGCAGGTAACGTGTGTTCGTTCCTGTTTCAGAGTGCCGTATTCTGACGGGGAGCACTTCCTCTTCCAGAATAGGGAGAGTTGCCCGCCAACAAGGAAAGAGGGGGCGAAGTCGGGGTTTGAACTCGAGATGGCCGCAGGCGAAGATCGGGAAAGAGGAGATCTGAAGTCAAGTCGTCTTTGAGAAAGTCAAATAGCTCAGTGGGCGGCCACGCTTCGGCCAGTCGCAAACTCCGTCGGCTTTCCTTTCCCCTTCCCCGAGTGTTTCGAAAATCTTGCTGTTATCTTGAGATATCACATTGATGGATCGAAGGCCACCCCATACTCCCACCCCACCCCTTCCCTCTCTTTGATCACTGTATGGCTTTTTGGCAGGAAAGCCGCCCTCTCTTTCCCTCGGCCACCCCACCGATATCTCTTCACCCGCGGGATGCTCGCTCACTTCAGTTTTTAAATGTTGCGGTTTGGGGCTGGGCTTGTGCAAAACTCATGTCCAAAAATGGTAACATTCATTCCATTTTTAAATTTAAGGAGGCGGGGGAGCGAGGTTAGGAGGCGTCCCCTTCATCTCCGCACGCACCCGCCGCCGCCCCGCCAGCAACCAAAGGCATCCTGTATTAGCTCACCCTGGAATCCTGAGCCCTTAAACATTTCCCCTTTAGTCATTTTGTCGGACAGTAAAGCCCAGGGAGAAAGAGGAGAAGTTGCCTCCGTAGTAATGTAGCCGGCAGAGGTCAGGAGGCGGAGTGGCTCCTTCAAGGGGCTTGAGTTGTTAAATTGCGATTTTGCCCTTTAACAAAAAAATAGGGGCAGAAGTGGGTTTGGCTTGGTGGATGAGAGAAATACCATACAAGCATATTTTGAAAGGAGGGTAAAAACAATTACAAGGAACCCTGGATAAAGATGGGAATCTGTCAGCTGAAAGACAATACTCATTAGAGAATAGTCAGTTGTTGTGCCCCTTGCATAGATACTTTAAGATAGTTGAAAGGATGTCTTGTCAATGGAAGCCAAATTAATTAAAGAGTACCTGTCAGTGGCATGCCCCCCTTGCTTGTTAAGGCTTCAGAGAGACAACAAAGGCAGGAGAAATAAAACATGAAAATAAGAGTACTGACTGGAGAATGGAGTTTGTGGCATAGTACCAGAGAGAGAGAGGTGGTAATTTAATTCCCAGTCCATGTGGCGAACAAATAGTTGGTCCATGGGATCTACCAGCTGAGAAATTATTTTAATTTAGAGTGGGGGTAACACCTTCAAAGAATTGTTGGCAGATGGTCCTTCATTCTAACAATCTTTTTGTGGGGTTGAGGGAGAGATAATATGATAAACTGAGTAAAAAAAAATTTTGGTAGTAAAGTGATAAATTTTGAGGTTCAGTGTAATGTGAGATGATTAACAGCACATCTGTCTCCTGGCAAACAGAAGTTGACATGAAATCAGCATAGAAACAGAACATTTTTTAAAAAGCTTCATAACATCAGGTATTACAAAAACTCTAAAATATTGTAAGAAATATAATAAAAAATAGAAGTTTCTGAGATGTCCACTATAGTGTTATACCTATACTTTTTTCCCATTTAGAAACTTTTGAAAGGTGAAATGGAATAGGGTCTTTAGCAGTAAAATCCAGAAAGTTGTCCTCTACACAAATACTCTAAGACATAGTGGGTTCAGAGAGTTTATGCTGCGATTCTCAAGTACTTAACAACTCGGAGGGTTATTTTGAAGAAAACATATGTAGGATTATAGTAGTTCCGGGAGGGGAACCTATCAACTAGCAAAGCCAGTAAGTCTGTTATGATGGGAGTTGTAGTCAACAACATCTTGAAAGCCAGAAATTACCTACCATTACACTAGCCCTGTTCAGACATCTTCTTTGTTGTCGGCCTTTGTTGCCTCTGTGTGAGGAAGAGAACAACCATAAATGTACTAGTTCCATCCAAGTCCCTTAAATCACTCTTGCCCCCATTTTACAACTGGAAGGTTCCTGTCTGTGAAAAAGAGTTTCCTATATCCATAACCTATTAGAACTATAGAAAAAGCAGTTTGAGGAGACACCACCCCTCCCGTGGAGGCAGAAGGCTTTTCTTTGCAGATGCACACTGATGTGTTGAGGGTGACAAAAGCAACAAGGGAGATGAGGCAGAGCTGCAGTCCTGTAAACTAAGGTTGCATGGGAGGATCACTCCTGAGTAGAGATACCGTAACTCCAGAGTTCATAATTTCTTTTTTTTATAAAGCACCCTGAACTAACTAGCAACAAGTGCAGCTTAAGTAGAACAGCAGATAATGCAAAATCTTTAGTAGTGTGTATCTTTAGACGACTGTGTAAATAAGAATCAAATTAGGGATGTTTGTGCATTTCTGGGGGAACCATCAGTGAAGCAAGAGGAGCACCCCCCCGACACACACAGAGATTACTCTTGTTAAATCCACCATCCATATGTCACAATTAGAAGTGGGGAAAGAAAAAGAATCATGAAGAAAATATTAGTAAAATGCTGAGCTGACGCAGTGGAAAATGAGAGTTTGCTCTTTATGTTAAAATGAATCTTCCCTTCTATAAAGTCATGGATTAAGTAATCAATGTGGTTTCAGCATCACTAATTTCAGGTCCAGAGAGGGGGTAAGGTGAGAAGGGAAGTTTTTTTTTTTTTAAAAAGAGCAGACTCTGTTCATTTTTCTTTTATGAAGGCATCATAGAAGACTGTTTCCATCATTGCTCACTACTTTCCCTGTGGCTACCTTAGGAGGCCACTCTGTTCACTGATGAGATTAAGGCTTTCTTCTGGTGGCTGGGAAAAATAAAAATAAAGCAGAGTCCTGAGTCCACAGAATGCTGCTGCTGTGGCCATACACTGTCCAGTTTCTTCTACACCATTTGGTCTATGACCTGGTCTTGACCTTTGCGTTTCCTGGATAATTTTTATTTTATTTTTGCAAGAAATAGAAATGTACAAATACTGTCATGGACCTGGACTAGGATTCTATTGGAGTGTCTACAAAAGGGTGGGACAAGCACCAGTTTTTGTTTTGACACAGACTGGGTCTGGTGAGCTAGTCCATGGTCCTATATGCTACTAAGGCTAGACTCCCTTGATTGTGGATGAGATTGGGTTTATTTTAAATCAATGAATTCTATTGTATGCTGAAGAATTAAAACTACTTTGGAGAAAAACAATGGGCAAAACCCAGGAGATTAAACATCATTTCCTGAATCCATGCTTACTTAGAGCAACCATAGGAGGTCAGACACATCTCCTTTTAAAATATATATATATATATAGAGAGAGAGAGAGAAGTCCAAGAGACTCTAGAGAACTACCTAGGGGTTCCGCTGCTGAGCTGGAATACTGTATAAGGCAAAGACTCATCCTTGGGAGGTACGTGCTTAATGCCATCCTTGAGCCCAGATAGCACATAGAGCAGTGGTCTAGAAGAATATGAAATGTTTCCCTGTAAACCAACCATCCCTAACCTGCCTGCCTCCCAATGTTTACAACTCATATGAGCCCCGAAAAGTATGGCCAACAGTCAATGATAAATGGCCTTGTACTTGGGGAAAAATTGCGTTGGGAATGACTGCTGAAAATGGTTGATTCTCAAACTGTAGAGCAGTGGTTCCCAACTTCTGGTAACCCAGGTGCTCTTGGACTCCAACTCCCAGCAACCCTGGCCAGCACAGCTGGTGGTGAAGGCTTCTGGGAA